CGCGGTCAACTACGTGGGAGTCCAGCGACATAGCCATTACGCTAACTGCTAGTCCTGCAAAAATCTCTTAAGGAAAGAAAAAAAAAAAAAAAAAGACTAACATCCCAGTGCTCTAAGAGGCGTTTGGGTTTATTTAAGAATATGAATTTCCTAGCTTTAAAATGAGATCCTCCCTGCCTTCAGAGGAACCCAAGTCTTTTATTCCAAAGCAGCAAGTGAAGCTCCCTAGAATCCTGTAGAGAGACCCGAAGTCAGTGTGAAAGGGGGAGGGGACACGTACTGCGGTGTGGCAGGACTAGCTCTCGGGCCCACATCAGGGGCTGAACCCCGCAGGAGGCAGAGGCAGGCCCAGTGAGAGGATGAAACTCGTAGCAGCCCAAATACCAACCGCCTAAGGGGCCAGGAGCACCCTGCCCCCGGGAGTGTCCGGGCACGGGGTGAGTGCAGGTCCAGGCAGGGGTGTTGCAGAGCTGTGCGGTCAAGTGTCAGAGACAGCCCCGCCCGGGGGAAGTCGATTTTAGCCACAGTTACCTAGCGAAGGGCATTGCCGCTTAGCCTCGGGAAGTCCAGTTCTCTGGTCTGTGCATTAATACACACCGGCGACCTAAAGGGATGGTAGAAGTAACACATGTGAAATACCTGGCGTGCACTTGGCATGTAAGGGGCCAATTAACCGTAGCCCGATGACAGTGGTGGTGACGATGATGCAGCCACTACCTCAGGGGTTAAACTAGTGACTTCAGGAATCTCCTAGCACTGGCTCATGCTCAGTGGTGGAGCAGCTCTGTCTGCTGAATCAAGAACAGGGCTGCGGGACCAGCAGGTGGCATAACGGCTATGTCGCTGGACTGCCATGTAGTCGACCGTGGTTCAAGTCCCGGACCCAGTGGCTTAAACTCTCTCCAAGTATGTGCGTGCATGCCCAAGATCCTGAGAGGAGAATGGAGGAGAAGGGATTGTGGCGTGGCCATCCCCCCCGGGGGCTGATTTCTCACTTTCTGTCTCACTGTCTCTGTCTTCCTGACGAGCACACGTGCCCCATAGCAAAAAGCTCTCAAAAAAAAAAAAAAAACAGGCCTTCTCCAGCCCACTCTGACCTCTTCCCTGCAGACTGCACAGCTCTCCTGTTCTTTTCCCCCGGCCACTCTTACCTGACGCCTCATTTGGGCTACAGATGCGGAAGCACCTTGGTTTGTCACAGGCGGCCCTCAGCTGGGCAGATCCACCCTGTGTTAGCGCTTGCTCCTCTTGCCATCCCTCCACGCTCTCCCCCAGCGCTCCCCTTTTGTAGGTAGCTCTCCTGCCACTTCTATTGACCATGCTTTGCTGGATTGGCTTGGTCTAAAGCAGTAGTTTTCAAATTCTCGTGTGCACTAGAATCACCAGAAGAGCTGCTGCCCACTTCCAGAGCTTCTGATTCAGCGGGTCTGAGCAGGACCCAAGAATCTGCCTTTCTTTATTAGGTTTTTGCCAGAGGGCGTGTGTACTTGCCAGAAAGAGATAGAAAGAAACAGAGAAGAAAGTAAGAAATCACCGCCCAAGGAGCATGGCCACACCACAGTCCCTTCTCTCCATTCTCCTCGTGGGATTTTGGGCACGCACACACACGCACCTGGTGTGATTCTCAAGCCGCTGGGTCTGGGATGCGAACCATGGCCAACTATGTGGGAATCCAGTGCCTTAACCACCATTCCATCTGCTGGCCCCAAGAATCTGCCTTTCTACAAGTTCCCAGGTGGTGTCACTGCTGCCCATCCAGGGACCACATCGTGGCAGCACCTGTGGCGTGCTCCAGGCAGCCAGGCAAGGGCCTGTGCAGAAGGGAATCGGCAGGTGCCCTCAGGTCGCAGGGTCTTCCCTCTGCAGTGCAGGCCTGCACTGCTCGGAGGGACGAATGTCACGGAAGTCATCACAGACACCCAGCTTGACGTCCCCACGTAGGCAGGGTTCAAAACAACCCACAGCGTGCATCCGTTCTCTCCGCTCCGTTTGCTAGCTTCCTCCTTCTCGGCTTTGGCAAGCCACACCATCTTTCCAGCCGGCTTTGTGAGTCGCAGACTTGCACCTCGGCCAACGGGAGCCTCTGCCAGCCAAAGCAGGCAATTTAGGAACGTTGTGTCTGAACTGAGGCTGCTCCCTTCCAGCCCTCCACTGTGTGTTGCCCTCCTGGGGTCTCGTCGCATCCTCACCACCCTCAGCCTCAATACCAGGTACCCATAATGCTATCTGGCTGTGAGGCCGGAAGGAGAGGACACCTTCACACCACCTACCAGGCAGCAAGATGTCCCCGTCTGTCTGTTGTCTATTATTGGGCACATGAAGTCAGACGTTCGGTAGCCACAGGAATCCTAGCCAGCCCCTTCTTTGTACTCACCAGTCTGTGGTGCAGACATTCCTTAAGAACTTGTACCTTGGGGGGGACCAGCAGTTAGCGTAATGGCTATGTCGCTGAACTCTCATGTAGTCGATCGCAGTTCGAGTCCCAGACCCAGTGGCTTAAACTCACGCCAGGCACGTGTGCATGCGTGCCCAAGATCCCAAGAGAAGAATGGAGGAGAAGGGATTGTGGTGTGGCCATCCCCCATGGGGGGGGATTTCTCACTTTCTGTCTTTGGGGGCACAGCAGGTGGCATGCTGGTTAAGGCAGCTGGGTCCCACATGGCCAGCTGCCTAGTTTGCAGGCCCAGATTCTGTGACTTGAAAAATATTCTGGGCATGTGTGCATGCCAGCCCAAGATCCTGAGGGGAAAATGGAGGAAAAGGGACTGCGGCATGGCTATCCCCCTGTTTCCTAAGTCATGTTTTCTTTCTGCTGACATCCTAGCACATAATTCTGAGTTTGTCTCTGCCTGTCTTTCATATACAGTACATTCAACAACCAGGTCTCTCGCTCTCTATCTCTGGCAATTGCACATGCCCTCTACAAATTTTTTAAAAAGAAGGAAGGGCCAGCAGATGGGGTAGCAGTTACTTTGCTGGACTCCCACATGACCAACTGCAGTTTAAGTCCCAGACCAGGGACTTGAAAATTACGCTGGGCAGATGTGCATGCATGCCCAAGATCTCAGGAGGAGAATAGAGAAGGGATTGCGGCATGGCCGTCCTCCTGGGGAATGATTTCTCACTTTTCCTCTCACTGTCTCTGTCTCTGTCTCTCCAGCAAGCACACACACTTTAAGCCAAAAATCTCTTAAAAAGTAAGAAAGAAAGGAATTGTACCTTGGTCGAAGGGCTGAGTTTGTTCTGGGTATTTTCTGAAACACATAAGGTGAGCCTGGATGTTACTAATGTAACTGAAGACCTTGACTGTGACATTTTAGGAGCCTCAAGGTTACCTGAATCTAACAGCTTCTTTTTGCCAAGAAAACATGAGCTGCACTTACTCCATGGAGGTTGCTGGGACACAAATGGAATTTTGGGATCCCAAACTTGTACATTTTCCATAAACATGAGGGTGTCTATATGTAGCACCATTCCAAACAGTGAGCTTAAATTTCCAGTTCGTAGAAACAAGATTTACCATGATCTTTCTTTCCTGGGTTTTTACACCACAGGTTTTATCTTTCTTTTCTCCTTCCTACCCTTCGATGTACTTTTTCTTTACAGATATGTTAGTAGAACCAATCGTTTCTTGTAGATCTTGTAGTATGGATAAAATGAAATGTAATTAGCACTTGAAGTCAATCCACGAAAGTCTTTATTGGTTTATTTTAGGTTCAGTCAGTTGTTTCCGGAGAGAGCATGAAACCTGCACTAAATTAATTACAGTCCCGACAACATTATTTTCGTTGTTGTTATAGGGCACATGTGTTCACTGCAGAGAGAGACAGAGACAGAGAGAAAGTGAGAAAGCGCTCCCCATTGGGAATGGCCACTCCGCAGTTCCTTCCGCTCCATTCTCCTCTCAGGACTCTGGGCAGGCACAGACGCACCTGGTGTATTTTTTCAAGCTGCCAAGTCCAGGACTTGAACCACACAGTTGGCCATGTGAGACCCAGCTGCTTTAATCACCACACCACCAGGCTGGACCCCCAACTGGGAGGACGACAGCATAAGGGTTATAATACAGTCATGTGCTGCATTAATGCCGCTTTGGTC